ATTTTAAGAGAATATTTTTAAGGTTCGAATTTCTGTATGTGTAAAGAGCAGTAGCAAAGTATTTTGGCATTGGTTTACTTTGAAAACACTGTCCCAGAATCTGATAGCGGTGTTAAGAAAAACAGTTGCTGAGAAAGGCAGCAGTCCTCATTACTGATTGCAAACCATATGGATGTTGGGTGGGAGAGCACAGACTCCCTTGCTAAAACATTTCTGTGCTTTTAATCTGCCTGGCAAATCACTGGTGATTAAATTATAATCTGAGTTGTTTGTTTGAAATGTCATACATCTCCACCGCAACCTCTCTGCACCATCGGAGAGTTTCAGGAATTAAGGAGCATGGGAATGTAAACGCCTACAATGTATTTAAACATGAGTTAGTTAAAGCCAACAAATACAGAAATATTTCAACTTATGTATTAAAATGCTCCAGAGGATACGGATTAACCTCTATTACTCAGAGTTTGTCACTGTCTCATCTCTTTTGGACAGCAAACTCTGAGAAGCGGACAGCAGGAAGATTTACTTTCCCTTCAGCTTCTGTCTCGCCTGATGACACGTCTGTGGCTCCCCTGGCCGTGTTGCTCCCTGAGCTCTGGCAGCTCCCCCTGCTTTGCAGGCACTGCTTTCTCTCACAGTCGAGAATCTCTTGTCTGAAATCTCTGCTAGATGAATTGAAGCCAAGCCTTGCTTGCATGCAGGGGCCCTGGGCTTCAAGGTGATGTATTGCGGTGGGATGAATCCCACAGCATAAGCTTGCTTGGGTCTGCTGTCCTGTAGTGAAGGGGAGAAGCCTTGAATGCAGCCTTTACACTCCAGAAGTAGCAGGGCAGGGATTTCCCTGTGCAGTCCATCACCTCCAGAGGGGCAGCTGGTTAGGACAAAGTTGCAGCCCTGCAGCCCCGCCGCTGTTACAGTGCTGCTCTGCAAACTTTTCTGGGCTTCTACACAGAAAACTCTGAATCTCCTTGGGGATGCAGAAGAAACCCTCCAGGCCACATACAAATCAAGCTGAATTAGAAATACTGCTAAAGAGGTTGACTCAGTCCATTACAGACATGCTTGTGCACAGTCAGTCTTCTCTTCCATGTGAAACAGTCCCTGGGCTTTTCTTGAACAAATGTCAGGATGCTCCTCATTTATTAAGCAACTTTCCAATTGTGTCACTGCATCTTTGTATATATCTCTCTATATTTAGATAGATTAAAACACCCACAAATCACTGTTTTTATCATGAACACTCACTGATTGCAGCAGCAAAGTTAGTCCCTAAATAAAGGATGCACCAAAACACTTTTCTGTAATGTTATTAATATAACCACCTCACTTAAAGTAGATTACAAGAGGCAAACAAATTTAGTTATATAACATATATAAATACGTTATTTATAACATATTTTGGTCTTTCACAATATCCTTGACTGACTGTGTATCTTAATATGACAAGGCAGTCAGCTCTGCGGCAGTACATGTGTTCCTCCTTTCACATTTGTTGGTAAAAGCCAAATGAGTAGCATTATACTGGTGTAACACTGATGAAAAAGGAGATCCAGCCTCTCTCTCCTGTCAATAAAGCAAGAAGAGTGTATTCAGTCTTTGTGATGTACTTGGCACCAGCGATATTTTAATATCATTAGCAGCGGGAAATGCTTTCCTTGCCAGTGATGAGGTTCAGTGTCAAATAAAGGTGATACCCCATGGGAAGACTTTAGACAAATTTGCTATATTCTAATTAAAAAAAAAACATCTAGAAATACTCTATTTTTTTGTGAAAAGCATTTATTCAAGTATGGAGTGATGTTGGCTAATGAAGAAGGGCCCTGCTGGTGCCATTCTTAGTTCCACCTGCTGCTATCACTGCTTTTCTTGTAGACAGAGCATAAAGTGGAATTAGGATGGTGGTGTCTGCTCTCACACAGAAATAAAGTCAGAATAGAAATATGTGTGTATGTATAAAGATAAAAAGAAAAGAAAAAGGAAAGAGCCAGAGCTTAAAGGACAGTGAGCTTCTCTGTATAGCTGCAGTGACCTTGTACCTTCACTTGGAAGGGTTTTTCCTTCTATAAGGCCAGACTTCTAGTCTGTTGTAAGGGCTAGGAGGGTGTCTGGTGCAGCCCATGTTGCAGGAGATCAGAATTTCTGCTTTGAAGTTGTTACAGTTAAGAGAAACCACTAAAAAATTTCCTTTATTGTGTTGGACATAATCTGATACTTAAACCTCACCATAATGTTCCTCTGGAAATAGTGAGGCTAAGAGGTATTCGCCTATAGACCGTTGCTTGAGAGGAAAGACATCAATGAATCTCTGAATAATAGGGCATAAAAAATAAATACATAGCTGGGCATGGCTCCTTGCTGCTGCTATTGCTGCTACTTCCTTAATTAGCAGAAAAGAGTGTTTACAAGGAGCACTTTACCCACTCAGAGGAATTATTTGTTATGCTATGTTGGCTTTCTATTTCAGCACTGATGTTTTTCCCATCCTTGGTATGAGAAACAAGTTTTGGCTTTCAGAGATTCACTGAGGAAATGTGGATTTTATTTGAAGCTCCATTTTATTTGATACTGCTTTGTCTTGACTTTCTGGCTGAAACGTTTTGTATAAAAAATGAGACAGGGAGACATGGGGTTCAGGGACTTCAGGACCTCCCAAGTCAGAATGTGATAAAATATGACTTGAAAATCTGGAGAAGGAATGAAAACCTGTCCTTCAGGTTGGCTGTTGGCTTTATTTTTGAGTGAGCCTCACAATTGGAAGGTGGTGGTGATTGAAACAAATATTTTGTAATGGTCATCTAATTTCTTATGAAAGGATGATCCTGCGCTTCAGACTGGAAACTAAGACCAGAAGGTGCAGGTTCAACAGATTCCTCATCAGTGCAATGTGTATAATATGCTTTTTTTCCCTCCCATCATTTGGTTTTCTTTGTCAGTTTAGGGCAGCAGCTATTTCTTTTTGCAAAGTACTTAATCGAGTGAGGTTCCCACATTCATTTTGGTCTACATTTGGTCTACACATAAATTTTGAGAAGGACACTAGAGAAGAATTAAACACCGTAGCACATAAAAGGACATCCTGAGTGCAATGCAGGAACCTGTGGGATAGATATGCAGAAGGCCCAGAGGGGAGGACCAGTGTGCATTGGCTGAGTGTGGGGCAGCAAGACAGAGTTTGTATCTGTGGCATAAACCAAGAGAAACAGTGATGGGATTTGTTGGGTCAAATGTGCCTCTGTTGGCACCATGTTTGCCATTGACCAGAACTGTGGTGTCGCATGCTGTGGAGTACAACGCTTCGTGATGACAGTCGTAGCGTGGTGTGGGGTGTGCCTGCCCACCACAGGGCTCATGGAACTCAGTTTTAGGGCAAGCGTGCTGTCATAAATTATGTGTTTTTGCTATGGAAGACATGCCAGCTGGATGAGGAATAGGACAGGAACAAAGATAAGCATGGAAAAGCTCATCACAGAAAAGAAGAAAATAGTTTCAAAATTTTGCCTTTTTAAATCTCTGCCTTCTTGAAATTGTATGGGTGAGTCATCCTTTAGAATTAAAAGAAAAAGCCTCATTTAAAAGCTTCCTGCAGCCTCTCACACAAGCCCTGAGAAACAGCTTGAGATTGGGCTGCAAAATGTGGGAGGACATCTGGGATGGAGGGCTGAGCATTCCTTGGTGGTTGCTGTTGGAGGAGAGCGAGGACACAGGCAAACCATCTTCTTGCACTGTGCTTTCCAGACCTGAGTACTGACTTTGGCTTGGTGTGGTGGGATGCTGGGAGCAGTTTTATCTGCTTTTGTTTGCTTGCTAACTCTAACCATCCATCAACAGCCCATTTCCAGTCATGTTAATTGGATGATATATACAAGTGGCAGGCATGGGTTGGCTAGGAATGGAAGAGTGGCCATGCCTCACTTATAGGGACTGTCACAGGGTGTTCTGGTGTGCTGGTGGGAGCAGAGCTGGGGCTGGTGATTGCATTCCGGGAGCCGTCCCTTCCCCAGCTGTTCTGAGGGGTGGTCTCTGTTTTAGGCGCCATATAGCAAGCATTACTTCTGGATATATAATATCACTTCTGCAGAAGAAGCAACAGCAGTAGCATCTTCATGTCAAACACAAGGCATGGCTGAGAAAACCCTTTAATTGAAATAGGAACTGGAAAATCCAAAGAGGGTGCAAAAAACTCCCGAGGAGTTATTACTCACCAGGAGCAAATCCTACACATTCCAAGCATGGAGGGCACTGTGCCTGCACAGCGATGCCCCTTCTGCCCCATCTACACATGGATGGGGCTCAGGGCACCACGGGGAAGTGCAGCCACCGCAAAGTGTTTCTCTTCTTCTGCAGCTGTGTTCTGTAGTTTCAGCTCACTCCTGCAGCAGCTCTCTGAGATTTCAGCTGTTCTGTAGCAAGCAGAAGGTCCTTAAACCACTGTGGGAAAGTCAGGGTGCATTCCCCATCCCAGAAGAAAGAAGGGGCAAAGTTAGGGGCGTTTGGGTATTTCTCTTCGTGTTTGTCAGATGCCCGGAAGGGATCTGAACGTTATGCACCAATTAATGGGAGGAGGGGACAGCACGCAGTGCCAGCCCAGCCCGCAGCAGCCGCACCCCTACGGCAAGCAGTTACCGTTCCCTCTCCTCTCCAGGGGAACGGCAGGGGTTAATCCAGTAGCCATGCATTTAATAGCTCGATTTAAAGGGGAAAAAGTGACACCCTTCTCCCCTGCCTTGCTGCCGGAGGATGGTTGGCTCTATCTCAGTGATCACATGCTCCCCCAGCCCTCGGTGCTGCAGAAGCCCAGCTGCTGCCGATGAGCCGGTTCTGCTCAGGACCTGTCCCAGCCCCAGCCCTTGCCCGTCAATGCCTTGCAGCCCTGAGCTCCTCTTTAAAGGGGGGAGCGGGCAGAATGAGCCCTTGAGCCCATGGGTGGAAATTTGGGAAGCCTCTGTTGTCTCTCTGTTTCCAGCTCTAACCATGTCCATTTGTTGTTGTCTCTTTTTCAGGGACTATGGATCTTCAAAGAGAAAATCAGGTAAGATACTGAGGTTTTTACTGTATGATTATAGAGGGAACTGGATTGTTTTTTTCTCCTCCTTTTTAAACCTTCCCTTGTGTTGCATGAAATTATATAGCAGTTTAACTTTTCATTGCTGAAACCTCCTGTAGCCAGGCATCAAATTCTTTCTGCTCCACTGAAGAGAAGAAACTCATCTTACATTGTATTGCAATTAAAATGTTGGTGTTTATAGAGCTCTTTCTCCAGTCTAAGAGGCTAATGGGGTTACATTTCTTTTTATTTTTTTTTCTTAAGTCAATCTCTACCTAAGTAAAAATGTAGTTTAAGAGTCGGAGGTATTTTTTTGAGGGAAGAGGAAGAGGATGCTTTTCCGTGTGGGTCTAAATCTTATTTTTGCCTGACCAAAAGGATCTGCTGAAGCTTTCAATGCGAAATGTTCTCACTGCCTGTTTCTGGGTTAGGGTTGACTCAAGGGCCATAGCTCTTTATTTTGTTTTTAAGTCCTGGATTCAAATGTCCTATAAAATCCTGATCTGAAGCTACATAAAACCAATTTTTCCCATTTCCTTATAGCTCTTAGTGATTTATACAGATATGTTTTCAACAGGGAAATGTGATTATGGGCCTCTGCATTTGGCTGTTCTGAGTTGGATGTGATAGGGCTTCTTTCTTTCCCTTTTTTTTTTCTTTCCTCTCCCAAGCAGTACTGAGCACCTGCAACTCTCATTGACTTTGTTTGTAGTCTCAATTGCTCTGAATCACATCCAGGGCATCCAAAGAGGCCCCTGAAACCCTCTGCAACCCCTGGAATAGTCTGGCCTATGTGCAGAGGAGGGGAGGATTTTTTCCTCTTGTGTTTTGAGATGATGATAAAGAAATGCTGCAATGGCTGAATCTCTGGGAATGTAACTTACTGAACTTAAAGAATGTCACTGCCTAGATTGATTTGTTAATTATGAGAGCTTTTATGCTGCAGTCCTGTAATAAGCTAAGTGGTACACTAATGCGAGCTGTTACTTGACCCTGCCATCCTGTGCATTTATGGCTGTTCCCTTTGCAGGCTGGTGCTTGTGGTGCTCTCCTCCTGAGTTCCTTTAAATTTACCATAAGTGCAGGTGGGTGATGGTAATCAGAGGCAGGTGGAGCACTGGAACCCGGAGAACATTTAACTTCCTTGTTTCCTACAGAACTTCTTTCTGGGTTGCAGTTCTAGGCAGGTTCGTCCACAGAGATGTGACTGTACTTCTAACATGTAATATTAAATAAACTTTGCACTGTTTGTACAAATTGGACAGTGAATTAAATGTGCAGAAGCATTTTCTCTAGAGGGCCAGGCTGTAAAGGTGTGAGAGAGTATGCAGAAGGCAGAGTTGAAGGCAGAAGATCCTGGCTCACAGTGCCCTGTGCAGAGCACTGGGGTTTTAAGGCCACATAAAGACTGCTGAAATGTGTTGCTGAAGTCTCTGGGGCAACCTGATTTAGCACTGACCTAGAACAGCACAAGGAAACTGAGTGCTTTGGAATCTGTGCACAAGTTGACGTGCACAAGAGCTGCAGTGCTGCTCTTGTAAGATGTGTGAGGGATTGCTTTGGAAGGATGAGAAGCTGCTACTCCTCCATTCTGGAGAGAAGCTGGAGCTGATACACTGTGACACTGAGGGAAGAGGGACTAAGTTGAATTAGTGCAGCTGGGATGCTGCCTGTTCCCCTTGAGGCATCCCAAACAGCATGCTCATCGGTCCCTGAGGCTGGGCTCCCCTGCTCTGCTCTCCCACCCTCATGTGTTGCTGGGTCTTGTTTGGGGAGTTTATTCTTCTCTGCCCCTTGGTGGCTGACTGCACAGCCAGGGCTTGGATGCAGTGGGATTTAGGGATGCTCTTTCTCCACTTACACTGTAAGAGGAATGTGAAGCAGCAGTCTGACCAAAGTGAGTTATATAAAGAGACTCTGTTCTCAACCGTCTTCTTGCTTGTCTTTAGAGTGGCGGGGGAAGGCTTCATTCTACTTGGAACTTGATGTCGTGGGAGTGTACATACAACAAGCCAAAGAATATGCCAAGAGAGTTGGTGGTTACAGCCTCTAACAAAGAGCAGCTTTATGACACTGAGTCTAGTGATGGGGTGAATGAACACAGCTTCCAAGCCTGTGTTGTGAAGAGCCTTTAAAGATAACTAATAACTTTGAAATGCAGCTTCCTCTGTAGGTGCAAACACTACTCAATCTTAAATGGTACAAATAGACACTTGAATGCCTCCCAACAGATCAGACCTGAGAATACCTTTTTTTTTGACCAAGGATATGCTGGGAAGAGACTTAGAGCTGTGAGCAGCAGGAATCTCACAGCTGCTCCATCTTGGGAAGGCAGGGCATGAGTGTGACTGATGGCAGAAACATTTGGGGAATGCCTCTGATAGCCACTGTTGCCTCTACCCTGACCTCTGTCTTGCCAATGAGTGCATTTCTAGCTAGTCCTGTGCTGAGCCCTTAAAGCAGGGAGAAACTGGGGAAGTTCAGAGTTTAATAGGAGTTAGGGATGCATTTATCACTGCAGCTGATAGCAGTTGTAAACATCTGGGGACATTCTGAACAAAGTGCAACAGCATGGCCTTAAACAGAAGAGTCTTGTGCTGATCTGCAGCATCTCTGTATGCCAGCCTTGAGCCAGGGCTTCCTCTTGTGCAAAGTGCTGTATAAACACAGCCCTTTCCTTGGTTATGATCTAATTATAAATGCTTTAACCTGCAGTCAGCTTGGAGCTCTGCTGAAGCAGCTGGGCTCTGCGTAGGCATGGCCATTTGCTATGGCCTGAGCAGCCACGTGGGCTGTTGCTTTGGATTTGTAGGGCTGTATGTGACATGCTGCAGAGCTGCCTTCTTGTTTTCAGTCAATTGAATTGTTGCTCTGGGTCCTTCCCTTAGTGATGAGGAGGCCTCGGTACAACTGTGAGGAGCGGTTAAGGCTGACATGTTTTGCATACCCACAGCAAGCGATCTCATCTGGGTTCATCCGGAGTCCCTCTGTAGCAAAAAGGGAAGGGATTACTTTTCAGACTGATTTGTCACTGCCATTAACCAAGTGAACAGCAACTCATTTGTCACTCAAAATAGGCATTACTTCTATGCAGTCATCCAATGTGTGGTTTTCTCTCCTCAAATCAAAATAAGGGCAGAATTGCTCCGAATCTCGTAATGGATATTTGCATGGTACATTACAAACCACAAATTAGGTTAATCCACTCTCCAAACCCTACCAGCTACCATCTGTGCATGGTGAATTAATTAACCCTTGAGACATCTGCCAATCCTGATGTGGCTTGTGAAACCAGTTTCAGGATGTTTATCCTCAAAGATGTTCCTGTCTCCCTTAGACTGTTGCTGGCTATAACAGGTTTTATACTCCTGGAGTATGACGATCTAGCCCTCTTCCCTTGCTGAGAATTTTTCTTTGGTAGTTCACTGCCAAAGTTGTTGTCAGATCTTTGGTCATAAAGCTGGAGTAAACAGCTGGAACCAGGCATTTGGTGGTAATTAGAGAGGTGACATGGCTTCCACGGGTTTTCCACACTCAGTCTTCATGCTCATCTATTACTGAGAGAGTTCCCGTTGCTTACAGTGGGGTTACAGATAGCAGAATATGCTGCTTCACCTTAGCTTTCAGTGCTAAGGAATCTTTCTGCCACCTGACTTGTAGGCAGCCAAGCCTTTGTGTCTGTTTTGGTGTTTGCTTGCAAAGGCCGTTCTGGCCACCCCCCTTCTGAAAGCATAACAGAAACCCCACTGCTTGCTCACTCCCCCTGCCCTGGCTGCCCTGGCCCCAAGCTGCTACTTGGTGGCTTTGTCTTACTCTCTGCTCTTGTGAGGTAGGATGTCCCTACAGTGAGGGGAAATAAACTTGAAGTTTATGGCTCCATCAGCACCACAGTGTCTCCTTTCCCTAATTGATCAGATCCTGTCTGCGTTGAGCTGGCCATGCTCTGGCTGAGCCTGCCAGCTGTAGTCTGTTTAAACAGCCCCTGTAATTGAGCACTCAGAGCATTAGCTTAGCAGCTTGCTCCAAGCCAGTGGTGCCTCGGTGGGGCTGTTGATGAAGCTTGGCTTCCTCGGCAGAGAGAAGCATCTTTCAGTGCTGTTCCCACATTCAGTTATTGGACAAGCAGAATACTGCAGCACCCAGACAGCAATCTGCTTCTTTTCCCTTCTGTAGCCTAAAATGAGGAAGGATGTAAATAAAAACTTTAATGTCTGTTTGAAGCCACTCAGACTGTCTTTTTATTGATATCTCTTTAATATTCCCTCAATGGGAGGATTAAGTAGAGTTGAGAATTACAACAGCTACGGAAGTGGGGCCTCCAGGGGAAAGACGAGCAGATTGCTGTAACAGTACTGCGGCCCTTATGGCCTGTCACATTGTGGGGCTGTTCCTTGGGCTGCAAGCAGGAGTTGGGTCTTTACTCATTTCTTCTTGCTAAGGAAAACTTGCTTGCACACTGAGGGCACGTTCTGTCAGCTTTAGGGAGATGCCTTAATTGCTGTTTGAGTTATCAGGGGTGGGTTTTGTCCACTTTCATTGTAATTATGAAGAGAAATGGCTGAACTCTTGGCTTTTTCTTTCCTGGGTTTATAGCAGAGCTATGCTCATCCCTCCAGAGCTTAACTTCTTTGGTTCTGTCACACCACACATCCAGCCTGCCCTTACAGCTCCATGGCATGTCTTGCATGCTTTTTCATTTTTGTAAATGAGTTTTATTTTCTTAACTTCAGTTTGAACTGCCTCCTTTGAGGTAATATGGAGAAAATAAGTGGTGTGTGCTAGCCCTTCTGTACTTAATCATTCAGCAGGGTTGCAAATGTGCGAGCCATTAGCTGGACCAGCATAGCTGGAGCTGTTTCTGCCTGTCCCTAGAGCTGACCCAAGAGGTAGAGCTTAATCTTTTATATGTCATTTCTGAAGGGCCCAATCTGCGAGCATGGTACTAAAGATGTCAAAAAATACATCCAGTAAAGTGAAGTGGTAAA